GCTGCAATAATTGCGTTTGTAAAATGAAAAGGTTTTTAATTGAGGTGCTGCAAAAGGATCTGTCAGACGCAAATTGCTGTTTTGTGGCTGCGCTTTTGGGGAATATAAAAGACATTCAGGGAAAATGTGGAATTGTGCAAAGATTGTAAGCTTCCAGTGAGATGCAGGCCAAAAATTACCCATAATGCTAGAGTCTCCTCTTCAGTTCTGGATCTACAGCCTCAGTCCTGGGTCTACAGCCTCAGTCCTGGGTCTACAACCTCAGTCCTGGATCTACAGCCTCAGTCCTGGATCTACAGCCTCAGTCCTGGGTCTACAGTCTCAGTCCTGGATCTACAGCCTCAGTCCTGGATCTACAGCCTCAGTCCTGGATCTCAGCCTCAGTCCTGGATCTACAGCCTCAGTCCTGGATCTCAGCCTCAGTCCTGGATCTACAGCCTCAGTCCTGGGTCTACAGCCTCAGTCCTGGATCTACAGCCTCAGTCCTGGATCTACAGCCTCAGTCCTGGATCTACAGCCTCAGTCCTGGATCTACAGCCTCAGTCCTGGATCTACAGCCTCAGTCCTGGATCCACAGCCTCAGTCCTGGGTCTACAGCCTCAGTCCTGGATCTACAGCCTCAGTCCTGGGTTTACAGCCTCAGTCCTGGGTCTACAGCCTCAGTCCTGGATCTACAGCCTCAGTCCTGGGTCTACAGCCTCAGTCCTGGGTCTACAGCCTCAGTCCTGGGTCTATTATTGTAATTCTTGTGTTTTTGTGCTGTTGAGATTTAGAGCTATGCAAAAATAAACAGATTTTAATTGTTATCCTGAAAAAGGAAGTGAAACACTTTCGACGCGCTCCAGCGGTCGACATCTGAACATGGCGTCCTGTTGCCATGACGATCGCACCGCCGTAAAACTTGCGCTCCCTCAGAATGTCTTTGTGGTTCCCATGACGACCCTGACCCCATCATTCCATCAGCTGAAGCCTTTCTCTCTGCAGGAACTTTCATGAGCAAAGAATAAACCAAATGTATGAAATTAGTGTCAGAAAATGTCTTTATGGTACAAGGACCTGTTACACTGCAAAAAAAGATCAAATATGAGGTGATAATTGCTTGAATTGGTTTATTGTGTAGATTTTCCAACAAAATTCTCCAATGAGTCGAAGTCATTTAGTCTTATTTCCGGACCTGTTGCTTTATTTTCCCATTCCGAGGGAGACTTAAAACTAGATCATTTTGCTTTGTCTCATTAGTGAATCTTGTGCTGAAATTTGGAGCATTTTGCCAAATTTAAGCAATTTTTTTTCATCACTTTGTGCAGTGTATTTGTGATGTCACGTAACAGTCTTTCTGACCACGGGACACCAATGACCAATCAGGAAGCTGTGTGGATCAGAATGGGCGGGTCTAACCAGTGCTCCTCTTCACAATGACCTGCATGTCTGACCCTTGGATCTAGTATAATAACTGGATATTATAGCCTGGAGCTGAATAACTCATATGCTCGGGGGATTCTCGCGGTACTGCAGACTGAACCAGACTGAACCAGACTAAATTCACGTGGGCTACCCAGAAATGTTCCCCATAGAACTCAATGTAAATTAAAACAGCTCAACGTCAGCTGACAGAGAACCTGACAGAGAACCTGACAGAGAACCTGACAGAGAACCTACAGAGAACCTGATAGAGAACCTGACAGAGAACCTGACAGAGAACCTGACAGAGAACCTACAGAGAACCTGATAGAGAACCTGACAGAGAACCTGACAGAGAATCTGACAGAGAACCTGACAGAGAACCTGACAGAGAACCTACAGCTTTCATAAATGTCGGGATTTTAGTGTCCCTTGTCGTCCTGAACTTTTTTTCTTCTTAAATCCTTCGGTTTTGTTTAAATCCACACTTTAGTGCCACAAACTCTGCTCCTCTGGCTCTCGCTCTAACTCCCGCTCTGATGAACTGCTCTGATTGGTCAGAGCGCGGCCGAGCCCCTCTGTGCACGTGCGTGAGACCCGGTGTGAGACCCACACACGCGTGTTTGTGCAAAGCATTATGGGAGATCATCCACTGCACAGAACCGGGAGGACCAGAACACCATGTTTCACAGTGGGGCGTGTGTATGTGTGTGTGTGTGTGTGAATGGTTGGTGGTGGTCGGGGTTGCCTCGTTTCTTGCCCCAGGGCAGCTGTGGCCACAGTAGTAGTTTATCACCGTGTATGGACTGAATGAACAATGAGGTGTCAAGTGTCTTTGAACGTTCAAAAAAGCGCCAGATAAAAAACAATGCATTTTTTATTCAAAAACAGCACAAAAGGCTAACGCTAACTGCTGCCAGTAAACAGTGTGTTGCTATGGTAACTAGCACTTTATATTCTCTGGTGGAAAATGAGAAGATCGATAAATAAATGAATAAAATGAACTACTTATAAAAAACACAAACTGAGTCTTTACAGTTCCAAAACTAAAAGCCGTCAGATTGACTGCTCTGGGAGTCTGAGTATTAACACTCTTTCTCCAGATCACAACACAGCAGTTTCACAGCAGAAATGAGAGCTCGTGCATAAGCTGCTGCTCCCTCCACAAAGATGCTCTGTTGTGTGTTATGTTTGAGCTGTGGGACTCCAAGTCTAACATGTCAGGATGCATTCAGAGCAGCCGTGCTTCAGTGAGCCGCCGCAGCCTGACCACTGTACCTCCACTCTTTCCCTTCCACACTTTCAGGTGAAAAAGGCCAAAACAAATGTGTTCTTAATGCGGACTCTCGCATCGCGCCCTGATTGCCTCCTCAATTGATCACTTGTTTCCAAATGTACGTTGGCTTCTGCTGTCACCGGTTTTTTGTCACGTTCTGGGGAAAATACTACAGGCTTTAAGACCCAGGTGTCAAACACATGGCCCGCGAGCCAGATGCGGCCCCCAGACTGTTTATAGTGGTCCCTGAACGGATTTCCAATTTAATAATAATAATAATGCATTGGTTTTATATTGTGTTCACAAGTCGTTATTTACTGTAGCCACAGCTGCCCTGGGACACACTGACAGAAGAGAGGCAACCAGTCTGTCCCACCACCAACTATTCACACACACCAGACTCATTCTAATGTGGGGGAAGTGTCTTGCCTAAGGACACAACCCCAGTTTAGGACTTTACAGCCGCCCCACTGTGGCACCTGCTGTTCTCAGAGGTCTCCCATCACAGCACTAACCAGTACATGTGTACAAATCTCCCTGAGGTTTTTCATTTCTCCTTCTGGGTTTATAGAGTCGTTCCTCTGGTGCAGGAGGTTCTGAGGTCAGTGACCATCCAGGACACGCCACATTCAACAACATTTAAAACAACTCATTAGGCTCATTTTTCAGATTTTCATTGGTTTGAATGGAAACAGTCAAAATGGCGGCTTTGGGAGTTCTAGTAGTTTCAGAATTCTAAGAGTCATAGTGTAAATGTATATTTTATTTAATAATAAGATAATCCTAATTAAAAAAATATTTATAATGCAAATGTTCACGAAACCTCAAACAACTGACTCCTGCTGCTGTAAGAATCAGTTTCACCAAAAGTCTCATAAAAGATTCATACTAAATATTAAAATGTTTATCTTTAGCTTTTTGTCTACAAAAGGAATTGAGAGAGAGAGAGAAGGACAAAGAGAGAGAGAGCAGAGAGAGAGAGAGAGAGCAGAGAGAGAGGGCAGAGAGAGAGAGAGAGAGCAGAGAGAGAGAGCAGAGAAAGAGAGAGAGAGAGAGACAGACAGAGACAAAGAGCCGAGAGACACACAGAGAGACAGAGAGAGAGAAAGAGAGAGAGAGGAGAGAGAGAGAGCAGAGAAAGACAGAGAGCAGAGAGAGAGAGAGAGAGAGCAGAGAAAGACAGAGAGAGAGAAAGAGAGAGAGAGGAGAGAGAGAGAGCAGAGAAAGACAGAGAGCAGAGAGAGAGAGAGAGCAGAGAAAGACAGAGAGCAGAGAGAGAGAGAGAGCAGAGAGAGAGAGAGAGAAGAGAGAGCAGAGAAAGACAGAGAGAGAGAGAGACAGACACTTTATTGATCCCTGAAGGAGAAATCCAGGAGTCCAGGAGCGGAAACACAACTATAAACAAACAAATACATCATTCTAAAAGTGAGTTTAAATAGTATTTAAGATGAACAGCAGCAGAGGCGGTGTCGTGAGCGCAGTCTGTGTCATGGCATCCTCTTCGTACAGTCTGACACACGTGTATAATGAGCCCATCAGGCTGGACTCCTGCTCCTGTCTCTGTCTGCTCTCACTGAGTTCGGGGCAGTCGGAGTGAAAGGCAGCGCTATTGCATCCTCCCAGGGGGGCTCTAAAACACACACCCTGAACCCGCCTCCTCATCCCCGAGCACTTCACCTCCGCGACGCGCCGCCCCCCGCTCCCTCTCTCCGCTAAAGGCACTCACTTTGCTCCTGCAGCGGACAGACGCACAGCGAGAGGCGCGCACCGAGAGACCAGAGAGACTAGAGACCAGAGAGAGTCCAGAGAGACTAGAGAAAAGACAGAGACCAGAGAGACAAGAGAGACCAGAGACCAGAGAGAGTTCAGAGAGACTAGAGACCAGAGAGAGTCCAGAGACAGAGAGACTAGAGAGAGACCAGAGAAACCCCAGAGGAAGAGATCGGAGAGAGACCAGAAAGAGAGAGGACAACCAGAGAGAGACCAGAGAGAGAGAATACAGCCAAAGAGAGACCAGAGACAAGAAAGAGAGACGAGAGGGCTAACCCTAACACTGGATTCCATGACAGGCAGCGGAGTGCAAGTGTGACGCCCCCCCATCGCGCTCTCTCCCTCTCTCTCCTTGGAGCAACAAGTGTCCGCCGTGGGACGTCCGAGCGCATCCTCACGCGCGCAGAGGTTTTTGGAGTGACGCGCGCTTTGGGGGGGTTCAGGCGCATGTCCACGGCACATCTGTGGATCCGCGGAGATGGAGATGGATTATTAACAGTCCGCCGTGGGTCGGTTCCCTGGAGACGCTCCGGGCCCAGGATTACTTTGCGCGATGACCCGGGACTCGGTGCTCTTACGCTGCGCCCTGACGCTCTGTTTGGCGCTGCTCTCGGCCAACGCAAGCAACTGGCTGTAAGTTTTTGATTCTTCACTTTCTTCACTCTCTCCTCTTCACCTGCACCTCCTCCTCCTCCTCCTCCCGCTGTCACTGCCGACCTCCAGTCAATCATTAGCCCTGAACTTTCTCCACACTTCACGGCCTCACAGCATCACCACAGACACCGCAGAGTCCGCGTCCTTCTGCGGCTGGAACGAAACATACCCAGGTCCTAAAGCGCGCACCGGGAATCTATATGTTAGATTTGGCTGCAATATTTAATAGTATAAAACTGCTTATATATAACTTTACACCCTACACAACTCTATATGTATGTATAATCGTCACATTTGGATCTTGGACCATGGAACATCTGACAAAAAGTAATTTACTTCTGTGCATTTGGTGCGTTTATAGCATGAGTCTTCAAACCAATTGGAGAGCTACTTTTATACAACATAGAGAGCTACTCCTTTGTGAAGTCATAATAAAGAGCTACACGACAAGAGAGAAAACACATGAAAAAATATTCTATAATCGTGTATAACCCTTATATTTATACTTAGATATGTATTCATTCAAGATCACATGTTAATGTGTAAGTCCTTGGGGAGCTATACACCTGAAAGTGGCTGGAGAGCTTTACTGGTAGCTCCCAAGCCACAGGTTGGAGACCCCTGCTGTACTATATTACTTTTACACCCTACACAACTCTATTCCTTTGGTGTACTCGTCACATTTGGAGCTTGGACCATGGGGCATCTGTCAAAGAGTTACTTACTTCTGTACATTTGGTGCGTTTAAAATCGGAGAGCTACTTTTATACAACAGAAGAGGCAGAGAGCTACTCCTTTTTGAAGTCATAATAAAGGTCTATACGACAATAGAGAAAACGCATGTACAATGTTCTATAATACTGAATTACCCTTATATTTATACTTATAATACATCTGTATTGACTCAATATGTATTCATAAGATCACGTGTTAATGTCTGAGTCCTTTGGGGAGCTATACCTGGAGAGCTACTGTTACGCCTGTGTTTTTATTCATCCCATATGGATCTCGGACCTTGGAACAGTTGTTAAAAAGTGATTTACTTGTGTACATTTGGAATAAGGCTGATCAAAGACAGAGAGAGACCGCGACATGTGCCACTGTCTCTCTCTGAGCCACGCGTTGGTTTTGCTGGATGGTTTTGGTGCATTCCTCCGCGGCCTCGGTCCATCTTGAGCCGTCACTCATTCATATCAAACCCGGGGACGACACTTCCTGATCATGGTATTCCACAGAAGCCAAAGTTGGGGCCAAACCTTAAGCCTGGTTCACACGGCAGGATATTTAGGCCGATTTAGACCCGATTTACCCCTTACGACAATCTTAAGAAACGCTCCGATTTCCGTAACAAAATCTTACAGATTATCCTGCCGTGTGTGGTGTGTTAAGACTGCACTCGTCGCTCGGAAGGACATCGGGACTGCTCCCGATCTCAAATCGGGGATATCCAACATGTTGGATTGTTTTGGCCCGATTTCTCTTTGTGTGTGGTGTCCCCCGAGGACAGACGTGCGCGTTGCCATGACTGTGGCGTGTAGCCAATCAGAAGACGAGACGAGGCGGTGAGGAAACACCTCCATATCACGATGTAGCAAGTATAGTCCATGCTCGTGTCGTCTACACTTCTTTGACCATCGCCTTTTCTTTTGATAAAAACAAACTATCGCCAATGCATCCTCTTCGTCCGCCATGTGTGTTTACTCCTTCAGAGTAAACACACACGCTCGATCTCGCGAGACCTGAGATTTCCGTCTGATCTGTGAATACTGGGGGGGGGGGATCGGTTCGTGTGTGGTTTGCGTGATTTTTGCCGTGTGGCTGCGCACCACACACTGTACGACCAAAGTGGTTAGACCCGTGATTTTTCATCTCCCTGTGTGGGGTCTCACACAGAGAAAAATCGGCCGACAATTTTAAAATCGTCTCGTGTGAACCAGGCTTTACGTGACGCAAGAGCGAGACTCGGACTGAATTGGACTTTTCTCTGAGGCATTAGTGGCTCCTTTAAGTCCTGCGTCCTCTGTCACGCACGGATGACCTCACGCACACACACATGTATTGATGTGTGCGCGCTGCTGACAGACGGATCAGAAGTGAAAGCGGTGCCAGAGAGTGTGAAGTGTCGCTGCTCAGGCTGAAGGTGTGGTGACGGCAGCGGCAGGACGTGTCCGGGCACCGCGGGCAGGCTGGGAGCTGCTGTACCAGAGCTAAATACTTTACCTCAAATGTACACACACACACACACACATATACAAACACACACGCACACTTATACAAACACACACGCACACACACACGCACGCATACACACACATATACAAACACACACTCACACACACACATATACAAACACACACACACAGGCACGGGCACATGAACACACATATATAAACACACCCACACACACACAAACAGGCACGGGCACATACACACGCATACACCTACACAATCACACACAGGCGTACACACATGCACGCACACACAAATGCACACACTAAGCAGTGCACGCACACACAGACACACACACTTACACAAACACACGCAGGCATATACACGTGCACGCACTCAAACAAACACGGGCACACACAGACACGCACGCATTCCCCCACACACAAACGCACACACACAAACACACACGCATGCACACGCACACACAAGCATAAACACACACACAGAGACACCCACGCACACATGCACACGCACACATTTGTACGCAGTGATTCTAGTAAAGATGAGCCGGTGTCACGTGACCTGTGAATAGAACCACTCTTTTCAAACGCATTTATTATCGTCATAAACATAACATAACTACTGCCATGTCACTATTTCTGAGCAGTTGGAGCTTCCACGCTGTGGTTTGGCCGGGATCATTGAATGTACTCGGATACAAACAGCTCAGGGTTCACTGGTAGTTTACACTGATCACACATCTGAAGGATTTGTAAAGTTTTATGTTCACCTGAAGAAACAAGAGTCTGACAGTTCAGGACGGATTCAATTTAATTACATTTATTTTTGTATGACTCGAAATCACAACAGCATCATCTCAGAGACTTCACAAAACCACTGAAGTCACCAACACAGATCAGAGAGTGTGTCCATAGGAGAGACCAATGTTCATGAATGTTGATAAATGTCATACATGTAGAATGTTAAAGTGTCCTGGATCATCACATCCTTTTTGTTGGACACTAACTGCCCAACAGACTTCTGCGTCGGCAAGGAAAGACTCAGAAGAAAAACCCAGTGTGAAAAAAGTGAGAAACCTCGGGGAGACCCACGTATTGAGAAAGGGATCCGCTCCCACGGACGGACTGAGGCTGTAGATCCAGGACTCAGACTGTAGAACGAGGACTGAGGCTGTAGACCCAGGACTCAGACTGTAGAACGAGGACTGAGGCTGTAGATCCAGGACTCAGACTGTAGAACGAGGACTGAGGCTGTAGACCCAGGACTCAGACTGTAGAACGAGGACTGAGGCTGTAGATCCAGGACTCAGACTGTAGAACGAGGACTGAGGCTGTAGACCCAGGACTCAGACTGTAGAACGAGGACTGAGGCTGTAGACCCAGGACTCAGACTGTAGAACGAGGACTGAGGCTCTAGATCCAGGACTCAGACTGTAGAACGAGGACTGAGGCTGTAGACCCAGGACTCAGACTGTAGAACGAGGACTGAGGCTGTAGACCCAGGACTCAGATTGTAGAACGAGGACTGAGGCTGTAGATCCAGGACCTAAGCTACAGAACGTGGACCAGTGGCTGCTGAACGTGGACAGGTCCGGTGCAGGACTGAGGCACTCCCAGGCGGGTCGGGCAGGGCAGTCCGCAGGTGTAGATGGAGGAGGCCAGGTCCAGAAGTCCCGTTGTCGTACCATGAAAGAGAGAACAGATAATAATAACAAACACACAGAGCCTTTGGTCCAGAGGGAGCGGAACAACTGTCCACAAATGTCCCGGATCATCCCTGTCCTTACACCGTCCTGCCTCGATAAGAAACCACTCAAAAACCCATAAATGAAAAACTGACTGGATAGACCGTAGAGCAGGGGTCTCCAAGCTGTAGCTCACCGGTCCCTCACAGGTAGCTTGCCAGTCCCTCACAGGTAGCTCACCGGCCCCTCACAGGTAGCTCGCCAAAGGAATTAGAATTTTACCAATATATTAAAGTGAATACCTTTTAGCCATTACATACATGTATCTATGATAAGTATAAATATGGGGTTATACAGTATTATGGTGTATTTTATATTTCTTCTACATGATTTGTTTTAATTTTTAGATTTGTATTACGACTGCAAAAAGGAGTAGCTCTCTGCCTCTTTGTTTGTGTAAAAGTAGCTCTCTGGTTGAAGAAGGTTGGAGACCCCTGATGTAGCAGAAGAAATGTAGCCTTTGGATCCATTCATCTGTTTGATAACGTTTACAGATTCAAAATGAATATTAATAACTTGGACAAAGTTGACTTATTTTGTGTGTTGTTGATGTCATAACTGATCCCAGACATGATTTTATCTCGTTCTCGCTGCTTTGGCCGATTTCTTCCACTCTGTTTAAGCCTGGTTCTGAGTGTGTTTTAAGAATTATTTACGATCATATTCCCAGAGTCCATCCCAGAGATTCTCGGTGACGGTTCCACAGCAGAGAAATGACGGATGTTTTAGCTGCAAATGTGTCGTCTTCAAATCTGCAGCGTTGTTGTGTCGTCTGGTCCTGAATGTTTTTGTCCTTTGTGCAGAAATTAGATAAGAAAAGTCTGAGTTTGTCCTGATAACATGTGTTGAGCCTAGAATTTCATGTACTGCAAAAAAAAACAAGTAATACGATGGGACAATGGGACACTTTCTCTCTGCTTTAGAGGACATTTTAAAACACTTTCAAAAGATGTTACAGAACTGGCTGGACTAAATGCACCTGTGTTTACCCTGTAGCTTCACTTTTAAAAGACAGTCGTTTTTGTCCAGAGAGAGACCAGAGAAA